TTTTTTTTTTTTTTTTTTTTTTTTTTTTTTTTTTTTTTTTTTTTCAGTTGCCGCCCCCAAACTCTAGAATGCATTGCCTATGCATATAAGATCAGCCAGAGTTTTAATATTTATTGGTGTTTGGTGTTTAAATGTGAATGTACGGAGTCTGTCCTTTTTACCATTTTATTTATTATGCTTGTACAGCACTTTGGGCAACCTTGGTTGTATAAATGTGCTTTAAAAATAAACAAACAAACCACAAATGATGACAGGATATTATTTTGGGGTGAACTATCCATTACAGCAATGGTAAATATATTCATGTGCAAGTATGACAGTCATATAGCTTTAAAAGTCAAAGGTGATCGCCTGTGCTAGTTTAAATGTTGCCTCACACCCTCAATACGTTACACAAAACAACTTCTGTTACGAAAAACCGTGCAGTGTAGTCACATGACCATTTCACACAATGTTCTGGGCTGCTTAAACCTTCACAACCGCAAACACTGAACACTCCCCTTATGCTGCACTGGAGCGCTGCCTACACTGACTTTATTAGACTGATGTGAGCGGACGGACCGTTTTATTGAGCACATATTTGCACACTCCTCGCCCTCAGGCCTCGACAGGGCCAAATATTCAGAACAACAGGGCCAGTGGACTGAGATGATGGTAGTGGACATCTACAGGGCTCGAGTCACAACACAAACTGGACTAGATTTGTGAGATTGGACTTGTATAAGAAAAAAGAGTTTACCCTTTGCTACTCTATAGAAATTAACTGGATAAAATGAGTGCAAAGTTGTAGAAAAAGTGTGTATGTTGTCTAGAATGAAGTGTGAAAATGCAAAGCATTTTATCTGCTCTTTAAAGAAGTTTGTATGACAGCTGATCACATTAATGAAAGTGAACAACTTTTTTTTATTATTATTATTATTATCACAAGTATGTTTTATGGAGTTATTTAAAACTTTTTTTTTTTCTTTTTTTTTTTATAAATATCATTTTAAGTACTTTTTTTTTTTTTTTTTTAATATTCAAATATTTTAAATGTAATTTAAATATATTTTTATTATCATTATTATAAACCAGACCATTTTATAAAAGGTTTATTTAATTAGTTGAATCTGTATCTGCCATTCAATAGCCTGTGAAGCTGATCAAGAATGAACACACTTTAACATTTTCTAACACTTTCACATTTGTGTAGCATTTTCCAAATGACTTCTACAGAAATGATATGTGAAGTTGTGCTTTTTCTTTAGTGAGAGCTGGAGGGAAAAGAGTGGTGAAGAAGAGTGCTGATGATAACGCCAATGTGGAGAAAGAGAGCAAGAAAGTGGATAAACCCAGGTACAGTATCTTTTGAGCCATCTGGATTCTTCACAACACGTGACACATGTTGTAGAGGCTCTCGTATCCTGCAGATGAGTTTGAATTAATTTCAAATGTTTTTAAATGCCGCTTTTCTTCTCGTTCAATCTCTTTGTCAGTTTGTCAATATTTAATGAACATTTTTCATAGAGATTCTGCTGCCTTGAGATGGAATGCAGTGGTTTACTTAACCTGCTGACAGTGACGTTCATATCGCCAGTGGCTTTCTTTTTTCTAATGTTGCATTCTGGCCTGCAACAACATATCAAAAGTGATTTAAATGCAAAGTTTAATTTTTATGTATATTTATTTTGATTTATTTATAAGTGATTTTAGTCTTACTGCATATATCTAAAAAGTAATGAAGCAGAAACGTGTTGCTAAAAATGCTTCATTGCTCTGTGTGAAATCAATGAGCCATGTAGTTGCATGAGAGAGCTATATATATATATATATATATATATTAAAAACTATAACATTTATTTATTTTTTATTTAGTCTGCCCCAAAATATCAAAAGTGATTAAATGCAAAGTTGATGCTCTTTTTATTTTTATTTTTTTTATTATTTTTTTTTTCCGAATCATTGTTTATTTATCAGAGGTGGTTTTAGTCTTAGTGGAAATCTAGTGATGAAGCAGAAACGTGTTGCTAAAAATGCTTCATTGCTTCGCATGAAATCAATGAATCATGCAATTGCATGCTGATGGTGATGTTCATATTGTCGCTTTTTTTTTTTATGTTGCATTGTAGTCCTCACCAAAATATCAAAAGTGATAAATGCAAAGTTGATGCATTTCTTTTTTTTTCCCCCATGCATTATTTTATTTATTTTGATTTATTTATCAGAGGTGGTTTTAGTCTTAGTGGAAATCTAGTGATGAAGCAGAAACGTGTTGCAAAAAATGCTTCAGTGCTTTGCATGAAATAAATGAACCATGCAGTTGTATGCTGACAGTGATTATCATCAGTGTTTTTTTTTGTTTTTTTTTATAATGTTGCATTCTAGTCCACAACAATATATCAAGGGAGTAAATGCAAAGTTGTTTGTTTGTTTATTCGTGGTTTTAGTCTTACTGCATATATCTAAAAAGTGGTCAAGCAGAAACATGTTCTTCAGCACTTTGCATGAATCAGTGAATCGTGCAGTTTCATTCAGCATGCGATGAATGCAGTGTTTCATACTAATCTTTGTTGTCCAGGTCCCTGCCGACCCCTTCCAGAATGCAGCACCTGAGTCTTCTCCTGGCTGGTCCACTTGAGAAGGTTTGTTGCACCATAATAACAAATTAGTTGTGTTGCATGAATCCTCCTTGAAAGAGAATGCAATCCCATTGAGCATTGCAGTTTGGTTGCTGCTTTAGAAGGCAGAGAGTGTTTAAAATGAGTTTATGGTAGTAGCCGTCATAACCAGACATAAATGCAGCTTCTGTAGTTTGAAATGGCTACACAAGCGCTGCTGTGTTCAGTGGTGTTCTTCTCTCCTCTGCAATTTTTAATTGGAGTGAGAGTGGGAACTAGGACATGGATCACTAATTCAGTTTAGTTCAGTTGCGTTTAGTCCAACTAGGATTAATTTTCTGAACTCAACCCAGTACAGTGATCTGTGTCTGTCTGGATTTCACCTGTAAGTGTCTGAGACTAATCCAGTGGCTATCAGATAGTTTGGCTACAAAAGTGGCAGCTACAAAGTCGCAGAAGCATTTGATGAATACCTTTTTGTTTTTGCGTCTTGTTGTGAAAATGTATTTATTAATTTTATTTGTAAGTTATTTTAAATTAATTTTTTTAACTATCCATTTTAATTGTATTAACTTTATTATATTTATTTCAAATGTTTATTTTGTATCTTATTTTAACTTTAGTTTTAATTCTTTTTATTTTATTTTTTAAATTTATAATAATCAAATATTGTTTATTATATTTATATATTTTTATTTTAAGTGTAATATTTACTTGCTATTATAAGAATATTTACTTGCTATTATAATCATTGTCAAGACAGTATTTTTTATTTAATTGTATTTTAATTTTAATTTAATTTTACTTTGTATTACTATTTATTTTTTATTTATATTTGAATTCATCATCATTATTATTATTATTATTATTATTATTATTATTATATTAAAGGGGGAAAACATCCTTCATTTTACAAAATTAAGTGTTGTATTTGAGATTAATGTTTATCTCCTGCAGTTGGGTCATGATTTCCCCGAGACTCCAGTTTCTGTGCGGCACAGCCGAGTCAGACCGAGTGTGGAGAAACCTCACGTCTCGCGCATCTCCATCTGCATTCAACAGCCACGCAAGTGTTGAGCCAAAATAGCTTTCGCTGCTGAGCTTCTGACAACATGACGTTCAAAAGACAACCAGGATGTGATTATGTAGGTGAATCATGGATGTGACTTGCTTGTAGACTTGTAACAAAGTTACTGTAATGTGACTTCTGTTTAGGTTGTTTGTTGCAGCTTTGAAGGTTTTTCTTCCTGCATAGATTGTGTGCTTGTGCTGTGTGGAACATTCATTAACCCAGTGTGAATTAAAGCTGTGCTGTTGGAGAGATTCAGACTGCTGCTTGTCTGACATGAATGAATGTTAATCTGCTTGGCACTTAATTGTAGCATGGAGTTTCTGAACTTTGTTTGATAATGAATGAAACCGTTTTTCCTACTCTCACAAATTGAGCCTTTCATGCCAGTAAAATTCACTTTTCCAGCAAACGAAATGTTGGTTGTTTCATTTCATGACCGTTAGGTGGCGGCAGACACTGCTTTTGCAATTACATTCACAAGCCTTTTAAATTGCCTTCGTTTTACGAACTAAGACGAATTTGGGTCTTTCCTTTTGTGTGAAACCCCCCCCCCCACTGCAAAACACTGCCTAAAAAATACATGCACAAGTACAGTAACAAAAATAAATGGCATGCAATTGAATGCAAACAAAACAAGTGCTACAATATTGGATTTTTTAAATTCTGTGACTTAAAATGAGTATGCTTGTGTTCATGTAAGAAATTAACGTGTTTGTACTGTATAAAGCAATTTCAGATTTTACCAAAGCTCAGACACTTAAAATTGATTAATTTTAGCTTATTTACACTGACAAGAAAATGAACTGGATATTCATAAAGAGCTAGAAATTCTCTTAATGAGGAATTAACGGTAAACTTGCACAAGGATGTTAAAGGAATAGTTCACCCAAAAATGAAAATGTGCTAAAAATGTACTCGCCCTCAGGCCATCTAAGATGTAGATGAGTTTGTTTCTTCAAACATCACAATAATCCACAAGTAATCCACAGCACTCCAGTCCATCAGTTCACATCTGGAGAAGACAAAAGCTGCATGTTTGTTCTACACAAATATGTTGGTGGATTTTGATGTGAGAGACAACAGGACTTTTTCACTAGAGGAAGCATTATTATGGATTATGGTATTTTGGCCAGAAGCAATGGTTTAAAGTTTAAATGCCTTGATGGATTTGTTTCTTAAAAACACGCAGCTTTTTGCTTCACAAGACATTAAATGACGGACTGGATTACTTGTGGATTATTGTGATGTTTTTATCAGCTGTTTGGAATCTCTTTCTGACGGCACCCATTCACTGCAGAGCATCCATTGCTGAGACGGTGATTGATGCAATGCTACATTTCTCCAAATCTGATGAAACAAACTTTGATGACCTGAGGGTGAGTACATTTTCAGCAAATTTTTAGTTTTGCCTGACCTATTCCTTTAAGACATATATGATGGGAAACAATACAGTACTGTATGCTGTAATGACCCTTTTACCCTTGATGTGCTTTAATCTTGTTTGCTGATGTTTCTCATGAAGTATGATTTTATAGCTTTGTCTAATGTGATGTTTCTCAGAGAAGGCGAGCCAAATGCTCTGGTCGTGACATGAAGCGCTCTGTGAAGAAACACCGCGTGTAGCGGCTTTGAGCTGTCAGTATGATGAGGGCTGGAGGAAGTGTGTTGTACTGTATATTTAGGCGTCTAACGCAGACAGCACAACAGAGCCCCTATTGAGTGTGTGATCGGGCCAAATGCCAATAATGAGAGTCTGTTTGAGTCTCAAACGTACTGGAAGGATAAAGACAAGAAGGGAGGATCATAAACTATATCCATTCAAGTTTGGAAATGCTTGAATTAATTTGTTGCTCATAATCATAAAAACCTTTTGATCATTAGGCAGTCGTGGCCTAATGGTTAGAGAGTCGGACTTGTAACCCGAAGGTTGAGTGTTCAAATCTCAGGTCCAGCAAGGGATTGTCGGTGGGGGGAGTGAATAATCAGCGCTCTCTTCCACCCTCAATACCACGACTGAGGTGAGACCCTTGAGCATGGCACCGAACCCCCAACTGCTCCCACTGCTCCGGGTGTGTGTGTGTGTGTGTGTGTGTGTGTGTGTGTGTGTAGAATGGCTGCCCACTGCGCCGGGTGTGTGTGTGTGTGTGTGTGTGTGTGTGTGTGTGTGTGTGTTCATTGCTGTGTGTGTACACTTGGATGGGATAAATGCAGTGCACAAATTCCGAGTATGGGACACCATTCTGGGTCACACATTTTACTTTTTACTTCCAGCATGTTTCACCTAAAAACAAACAAAAATGTATATTCTTATTACTGTAAAAACAACATGACTGAAAAATTGCTATATTACTATAATAGGAATTTACTGAGAATAAAGGAAAATACAAACACGCTAAATATGGTCATAATAGGCAAAACATGAAATAAAAACATAATTAAGGCTTAAGATTTGAAAATAGGGTTACTATTTGATAATTAAATTAAACTTAATTAAACTTGAAAAGCAAATACACACAATTAGGCATATTTTTTATGCAAAACATAAAATATATATAAAAATAATAATAATATCAAATTTTCCTTTTGATTTTGGAATAAAATATGATCCAGTTTTTTTCTGAGATTTGTCCATTTTCTCTTTCTCTTTATTTCTTGTTCTTGGTCAACTTTCCCCCCTTATATGCCTCCTCCCATTCTTGATTTGAGCTAATAGGGATTCAGGCTGGTTATATTGATATCAGATGCAATGCAATGATCCACATTTACTTTTATATGGATTAGACACACACACACATTCCCAGCATGCACAGGGATGAAAGGCAATGCCTAGCGTGAGGCTTAGAAATATCCCTCAAATGAATCCAGAGACTGATTTTAATGCTGATATATTTCACATCACAGTTTGTTTTGCGTTCATGTATTTTTATGAAGCGTATTCCAATCTCATTGTCCCCGTTGAGCCGCTTTCTAACAAAATTGCATTTGTTCCAGCTTTTTATAATCAAATAAAGTACCTGGGTTACCCTATGCTGAGTTTCCAATATCCAAAAAATCCAGCTACAGCACGAAACCTGTACTTATGAAGCATCTTCATCTTTTCAGAATGATTGTCTATGTCCAGAATGGAATACAACTTTAAAATTCTCAGTCTAATGAAATAATGAATCAGGAAACAGATGTTGAAATTACTTCCAAGTCAACTGACAGATTGAAAATAGAAAGTCAAGTGCACTGCATTGTATTGAATTGTGGAATGCAGTATTTTAGGCACATTTTGGCAAATGTAGGTCATCTAGGTACTACATGCATAAAGAAAATGTACATATACTACTGTAAATTCTGCAGAAAGAATAGTATGCTATTGCAAACAGTGATGTATTTTCTACTTTTAAAGTTACATGCATCCATCTAACAAAACACTTTGCTAATGTTCCCATTATGTTATGAAAACCTTATTTCTGAATGTCCTCTGAACAATCAAAATGTCCATTTATTTAAATGTTTTAAAAATGTTTGTTTATGTGAACATTAAGGGAACATTCCGTTTATAATTATGCAATCATAATGGAAACATTAGTTTTGAATGTTCTCTGAACGTTCTGAAACAAGTTGTAACATTTAAAAAATATTAGACGAACATCCAACTAAATGTTTCAGAAAAAAAAGTTCCAAGAACAATGCATAAATAATGTTTTTGTGGTAATGTTTTGAGAACATCATCAAAGACCAGATAACAAATAACAGATAACAAACGTTCTATTAAAGTTACTAGTAACTATGTTCATAATGTTGGGTGAACCTTGCCAGAATGTTCTGAGAACATTCCCTGATAGCTGACAAAGATCTCAGAGCTTAAAGACATGGACTGAAAGCCACAAACTCTCATTTTGATTTCACAGGCCCTTTAATGTGTTCTAACCATGTGTTAGATCTTTCAGAACTCTTAGATGTGTGCCTCTTTACCGTTACGCATTACACAAGCAGCGTTTGTTAGGAGAAGCCTTCATGTGGGAACTCCACCACATCACAAATCATCTCAGTCAGCAGCTGTTGAGCAGAGCAGCACATTCACATTCACAGACACGACCACCAGACCTGGACCAGAGCCATGGATGCACACAACAGGTGTGTGTGTGATGGTTATAGATTGCAGCAGGATTATCACATACACACTGAATGCTGTTGGAATTACTCAAGACCCAATGTCTGCTTGACAATAGGTTGATGTCCAGAGTCAGAGCTGGTGTAAAAACGCAACTCTAAGACAACATCATACAACATTCACTTTAGTAAAAAAAAAAAAGGCTTTTCAATGTAGTAAATAAAGATTAATGGAGTACATTTAATAAGAAATTACTATTGCAGCACTTAATTTTTTTCAGCATACAAGTTATTTCCTGAAACATAAAATTAATGTTCAAAAGTTAAAATGACCCGATTTGTGTTTCATTTGTATATACTTCGTTTTATTAAATAAATTAATACAATTTATTTTTTTTAAAGGGGAGGGGGGGGAGGTGAAAGAAATTATTCAGAAAGGATGCATTAAACTGATCAAAAATGACAGTAAAGACATTTATAATGTTACAAATGCATTCTATTTCAGCTAAATGCTGTTCTTTGGAACTTTCTATCCATCAAAGAATCCTGAAAAAAACTGTACACAACTGTTTTCAACGTTGATAATAATCAGAATTGTTTCTTGAGCAGCAAATCAGCACTTGCAGGTAAAAACTTCAGGTTTTGTATTTTAGCATCATGTTTGCAATAGCTCTCTGTACCAGATGGTGTCAGCATTGAGTTAATTCTTAAAAAATACATTAATATTAACACACACTCGGGCTAAGAGCATATCCAGTTCACTTTGAATTGTAATTACAACCTCTCATTATTACAGACATCTGCAGGATAGCTGCTTTGGAGATCTGGCTCTATTTTAGACTCACCACATGAGTGAATCCCTACAGGATCCCGTTAAAACGCCTCCAATCACCCTGTGCACTGGAACAGCAAAGGTCAAACTGCATTAAAGACTGCATCACATCCACTGCCAGCCTGAACCTCTGGAACAGCAGTCAGATTTGTCATAGGAATCTCTACACAAGCATCTTTCCTGCGGTAAATCTCAGCCTTTCTTCTGCTTCCAGAGTTCATCAGGCTGACTAAACATTTTCCAAAACACAAAGTTTAATGTTGTTCTTTTTTTTAAGAAAATAAATTCTCAACTTTGCACTCTTAACCATGGTAAAAATCTCCTTAAAGGGGTCATATGATGCTGCTAAAAATAACATTATTTTGTGTATTTGGTGTAATGAAATGTGTTTATGCGGTTTAAAGTTAAAAAAACACATTATTTTCCACATACTGTACATTATTGTTTCTCCTCTATGCCCCACCTTTCTGAAACGCGTCGATTTTTACAAAGCTCATCGGTCTGAAAAAGCGAGGTGTGCTCTGATTGGCCAGCTATCCAGTGCGTTGTGATTGGCCGAATACCTCAAGCGTGAGACGGAAATGTTACGCCCCTCACATACTGTGATGATGCCGTGTCCGGCCGGGGCAACGACACAAAAACGTGAAAACCCATTACAAACGAGGCATTTGATGCATCCAGTGGGGACATAATTACTGATTATAATGACTTATACTGTCTTTTT